GCACTCCAGATGTGCCTCACCAGGGCCGAGTAGAGGGGGAGGAGGAATTAAAGGAGGAGAAGCCAATAAGAGGCGGCTTTCCTGCCTGGGTGATTTTTCCCCTTTTTCCCTTATTTTGGATGGCAGGGCCGGTGTCCCCGGGCGGGGCAGGAGCTCTCGGGGGATGCGGGGCGGGCGCAGGTGCGGGCGCTGGGACCAGGTCGGGGCCGCGGCGCCGCTCCCGGGCTCGGCTGCGCTCCCGCCCCCGGCCCCGCCCGGCCCCGCCGCCGCCCCGGGGAGGGCGGGGAGCGCCCGGCGGAGCGGCGGGAGCGGCGTGAGCGGCGGCGGGAGCGGGGCCCTCCCGGCGCTACCTGTGCGAGCGCCGCGGGGCCGGGCGGGGCCGGGAGGCGCTCCCAGCATGGACTTTGACGGTGGGTTTGCGTCTTTGCCGTGCAGGAGCCTGGAGGAGGCGGCGGCGTCGGTGGGACGAGGGCCGGATCCCGCGGGCACCGCCGGAGGAAGGGGCAGCCCGGCGGCCGGGCACCGTGCGCGGCGGGGCCACGCTTCCAGCATGCTGCTCGCACGGACACCGCCCCGCCGCGCCGGTATGTGCCCGGCTCCATCCCCGAGCCGCGCTGGGGCCGGCAGGGAGGAGGGATGCGCGGCCGCACCCGCGGGGCGAGCCCGGCCGCGGGCAGCGCTGGCCTGCAGCCGCCTGAGGCTCGTGTGGTGCGGGCGAGCAGGGAGAGCCCTGCTTTGAGGTGGGGTTTTTCAGGACAGGCGGCGGTGCTGCTTTACTCCTCCCATCATCTCGCAGCGAGGTTGCCGGCCACGGACTCCTCCGAACTGAGCCAAGCGGAGGTGCCGCTCCCGCCGGGCACCCTGAGGAAAGGTGGTGCTACGGACAGCAGTGAGAGTGATGCGGAGTGGGAAGGTAAACGGCGTGGCTGCTTCTCTCCAAGCGGTGTTCCTGCCGTGGGGAAGACGTGACACTACCGTATTTGCCGGCCGAGGTGGTGTGAGGGTCTGTCAGCCCCTGCTTTGCCATGAGTACCTTTCCAGGCTTCCACACTGACCTTTATACAGAGCAGGTTACCTTTATCTGGCGTGTTATAAAATACAGATTTAATAATGCGAGACCTGTCGTGGCAAAAATTGTTAAACATTTAGAAATATTTTGTGCTTTCTCATAGTTCAGTAAGTAGCAGTCCAAATTAGGTTTCTAAATATAGTAATTTTTTTTAAAAAGAAAAAATGCAGGGATTTATCCTGTAGCCTTAACAAAGTGGCATTTTTAACCTTCAAGTATATACAAATTAGTTTTCTTCTGAACATCACGTTCTGCTGAGAGCACTCTGGCTTTAAAATCACCTTGGTTTATTCAAGTTGCCCAAGGGGTTGGGCAGAGGCTCAGGACTCTGGTGTCCCTGGGGACGAGGTGTTTCCGTGGGCAGGGAGCTGGGCCAGGCTGTGCGGGCACGGCTGCCTCGCCTGGCTGCCGGCCTTGCCGCTTCCCAGGCGCGAAGGCGGCAACTGCTGGAAGTGGGAGCTGGCACGTTTGGAGTGATGGAATTCAAGGAAACAAATACCGGGGGAGAAGCCGTGAGACAGAGTGATTTTTAAGGCTGACATAGTTCTTTGTTGCAATTCGGGGCAGTACAGTTGGAGCATCTGGCTGTTAACGCCTCACTTTGTCCTCTTACTCTTCAGTTTGTGCAGATCGGTAGTAACATAGTTGCGATTTTAAAATGTGTGGCTGTGTTTTCCTGTGCTTTCCTATGTGAGATGTAGAAAAAATGGCTTTTCTGGTGCATTCCTAATTCTCATTTCTCTTTTTATAATTGGCTTCTGGAGATTAAAGAACAGAATGGGGTTGTGTGCTGCTTTTATTGTGCTCTTCTGTGGTTGATCTTGGGCAGATCTTGACCGTCTCCTTCTTTCTGACTTTCATTTGTGTTAATCCAGTGGAGCCTTTGGCTTCCTGAGGGCATCACAAAGCCAGGCAGTGTCCCTCATTCATACCTTATGCTCTGCAGCTCCATATGTTCGTAGTTGAATCTTGTGACAGCCACTACAATAAAACCCGACCCTGTCAGCCTGAGACACCGATCTGCTGTTTTAGCTGCTGCTGCTCCTCAGTTCCTGCTGGCAGGATCCCCAGGCTGGGCAGCAGCCAGCAATAAATAGCTGCAGGAGGGGCTTTTCTTGCTCGTAAAGATTTGTGCATCCCTTTTCATTGTCTGCAGCTCAATCTCTGCCTGGCACCTGTGGAAAACAGTAATGCACCTTTACAAATCAGGCTAGATCCTGAGCCCTAGTCTGAAAGCAGCTTAATGTTTCAATGTGTTCCTGAAGAGGACTGTTAGTAGGAAGGCTGTGACTCCACAACTGAGTTGTTGGAATGGAAGTTTTGTGTATATGTAGGAAAATTCCTGTTTCCACTCTAGTTCTAACACTGCTCCAGTGTTAGAGCATTGTAATAAACTAAGAGGCTGCTTCGTCTGGGCCCAGGGCTGTGCCTTAGAGCAGTCTAACCTCAGTGTGGCACTTGGACACCTTTGGTGGTGTGCCCTGTGTTTTCCCCTGCTGTGGGGATAGTCTTCAGACCATGGATTTGCAGCTAGTTCACATGGGAGGGGCTGATAATTACAAGAGCTGTGAAAGAAGTGCTGAACCTACATACTTTGGTGTTATGCAGGGCAAGGAAACAGCTGTACATATACATCAAAAGCTTTATATCTATTTCTGATATTTTGTTTCTGTTCACTCACCAGTTTTGAGCATTGTTTTGTATTTGGGGTCTTGGAGAATTTTGAATGTTCCAAGAACTGTTTAGCATGGCTCCTCCTCAGATCTGCCTTTTTGGAGCATGCACAATTCTTGGCTGGGGTTTTAGTCCATTCTTATTATCACCTCCAGCTTGGGCTTTGGGCCATACTTTCTACAGACAGTAGGTGCTGATAGTAGCAGGGGTCTTCATCATACATCCATTGGATGTTGTCCCAACCAAGCAGGCAGTTCAATTACCACAAGCATAACTGCATCAGCTACTATGTCTAATAAAAACTATATCTTTATAGCAAAGCTACTTTAACATTATACACATAGCATCTATTTTAATACTTGCAAAAAGCCAATCTTATAACATGTATTTATAACATTTTGTATTTGGGGTCTTTTGGATCTCTTCTATCACTATTAGCTTTCCCTTCCAAAGGCATTCCTCTATAGTTTCTGTAGTTGGGTTCCTTAAGTCTTGGCTAAACTTCCTGCAGATGGAGTTTCTGAGAAGTGGTGCATCTTTTTCATGCCCTTTCTTCTACAGCCTCATTCCAAGGCCTTAATTGCTAAGGAACTCCATTGGTTCACTGTTACCCACCTACGAAACAGGCTTCTATCAATGGTAGGCATTCTTATTCTGGTCCTATGGGGTAATAATTCAATGTTCCCTCTTGTCCCTGGTCTGGCAGAGTCTGTACTGGTGCATGCATGTATTCTGAGACATTGGGGGAAAAAAGCATCAATACATTGTAAGCATTTTTGTCCGAATTTGGACTAACAGCAGTCTGTATGGCTGTTTGGACAAGCAGCTGAGGTAAAATATGAGCAGAACCTGTAAAAAGGTTTTAGCATCCTGTTCTCCAATGGCCTTCAGCCTGCCCCCTGAGCTGTGTGTGCAGTTCTGGTGAATAAACTGCTGCACTGGAGGGAGGAGAGAGGATTTCAGGACAGGCCAACTGGGTACAGTTTTACTTTCATGAAATTAGACGGCTACCAAGCACACAATGTTCTTTGCTTTTAACAAGACTTCTTTTTCCTGGATGAAGAATAACATTGTGGCTGCCGAGGGCTGTTACCTACTGGCTTTGCTGTTCTCTGAACTACTGGTATTTTCACCCAAAGGTTCCTTTTGGTACTTCATCTTTGTTTGCTGCTTCCCAAAGCTTGGGTAAGATTGCTAGAACAGTGCAGCAAGCACTTATTTTTGTTCCTGGCTTCTATGACTGTGTCTCTTGGGGAGGGGCAGACTGTTTCTTGATTTCGTGGGAGTTTTTGCCTTTTTAATTTTTTTTTAAGTCAGTACTAGTTTTAGATTTCCAGAATTCATCAGCATAAAAACTCACATCTACACGACTGTACTGTTTAACAGCAAAACCATCCCACTTGCACAGTGCATGGAAATCATAAAATGAAGTAAGAAGAAACATTTTCTTTTCTCTTGTTTTTCTCTCTAGTTTGAAGATTTTCATGTTCCTTAACTACATTGTTGAAGTGCTTGAGAGATGAAATTTGACATGGAAATTGCCTCCATTAAGTAACTCAGTGTTCTGACAAAGGAGGTTGTAGGCAGGTGGGGCTCAGTCTCTTCTCTCAGGTAACAAGCAGTAGATCCAGACCTCAGGTTATGCCAGGAGAGGTTTAGGCTGGATATTAGCAAAAACTCTTTACTGAAAGGTGGTCATGATTGGAGCAGGCTGCCCAGGGAAGTGTTGGAGTCACCATTCCTGGAGATATTTAAATGATGTGGAAATGTGGCCCTTGGGGACAGGTTTTAGTTGTGGACGTGGCAGTGCTGGGATAATGGCAGGACTTGATCTGAAAGGCCTTTTCCAACCAAACCAATTTTTTGATTCTGTGATCAGCTGAGCTCTTATTGAAAAGCCTTTTAAAGTAAACTAGCCATCTGCCTGATTTGGAAAAGCAAATGTGTCATTTCCCCATTCAGTTACAAACTGGCTTAGAAGCCTGGGAAAGCTTTATCAATTCTGGCCATGGAGGGAAAAAACCCAAGCCTTTGAAATTCCAGCACGTACCTGGAGGCAGATAACCAGGAGACTTTCACTTCCCCACTAATCCTGCACAGCAGTTGTTTGCTGATGCTGCATCCAACCTTTCCCAATCTGTAGCTCTTATCTCTTGTTGGCACTAAGTGACAGGAGAGATAGGGGATGGCCCTGAGAGGAATGAGATCTGCTTTTCATATCCTGAGTTGTTTTGGGATATTTGGGTATCAATGACTGCCTGAGGCAGCAGAATCTTTGATATGGTGCTTGTTTTAAAGTAAATGTAGCTGTTTAAAACTTCATTTTCCTGTGATTAGGACGAGTTGTTATAATAAATGTTATGCAGTGCATCTCCTCTGTAAGATTGGCAGAGCTGGATGTTAGGGAGAGGCAGAACTGAAAGCCTGGTGGGTTGGGCTGCTCTGGGAGCCCCTGCCTGGGGCTGCTTTGCACAGGAAGCTGTGAGTCCTGCAGCGATGGAGGGGATGCTGTGCACTGAGCGAATGATTCATCTCTCTGCCATTTATGTGCCGCTGCTCTGCTCAGAGCTGCAGACTATCCAAAGGCCAATGCTCCTGAATTACAGCCCACCTTGTTAGGGAGAGGCACACAGAGGATGTTCTGGGCTTCCTCTCCGCTGTTACATGGAGAGTGTGAATATTTTATGTGGTTGGGTGCAGTTCAGAGGTGCGGATGCCTGAGTGCTGTTTGGTTACCTCTGCTGGCAGGTCACCTGCCCAAACTCCAACTTTGAATACCTTTGTTCCAGAGTTTATTGTTTCCATGATAATGGCAGCACTGGGATTGTCTGATTGTTCTCCCTTAGAGAACATCTCCTTAGATGGTCGAGGTCCAGGAATCAGTAGAAGCTTTGAGAGGGAGAAGGGAAAACGGGAGAGAACTTTTGAGGTTAGGCAACAGATGGGGCACATTGCCCTTCCCATGTCCTTGCGGAAATCCTCCTTAGCTGGACTTGCTGTGGGAGGAGGTTGGCATCCTGCAGATGGTCAGGAGCCACTTGCCCAAGCAGTGGCCCCACTCTGAGCCTGGCATTAGGTGCTGTGTATAAATTGTTGCAGCCTGTCATTCAATCTAATTTATTAGGTGCTGTATCATCCTTTTACCTTTGTCAAAGACAAGTTCTGTGTGGGAGAAAAGGCAGGCAGGCTTGTGCAAGGCCAGCACTACAGATTCATCACCTTGGCAATACTGTGCACCTCTGCCATCCTGGAGAGTGCTAAGCTCTGTTCCTGGGTTCCCTTTGCAGAGTCCCAGACGTGAAGCTGGCTGTGCTGTCCTGGGGACGAGGGGACAACCTGTTAGCAGCAGATGTGGTTCTGGTAAGTGGCACTCTGAGCTTCTCCTGCAGATACTCGGGGGAAAACTGAAAGCCTCCCTGCTGGGGGAGGAGTCATATTTGAACCAAAAAGTTTGGCTCTGTCACAGCAGGAATTTACTTGCTGCCTTCAGCTAGGCAAAGCTGCACATTTTGAAGCTATTTTGAAAACCATGACTTATTTTTAATCTGGTGACTGCTGTGCATAAAGTGTTGCAGAAAGCAGTTTCTTTTAGCGTAATATTGAACTTCAAGGTTTTTTCCTGAGGTTCTCATGGATGGAAAACATTTAAATGCAGGAACTTACCTGCTTATGATGGCTACAGATGTTGCATAACAGCAAAATGCTTGCTCCTCTGCCTGTTTTCACCATGTGATATTATCATTTTGCAGAGGCCACTGAAACCCTTATTTTTGATATCTCACGTTTACCTTTTTGCAATTAAATGCTTTAAAACATCCTGTTTGTTTTTTAAAATGGCAGTTACGTGATTTTTGCTTTTTTCCTCTATTTTATATTGTCTAATAGTGAATTGCAGGCATCTTTTCACCATTGTTTTGTTTCCTCCAGTAGTTAGAAATGAAGTTACCTTGGCAGGAAACACTTTGCCAGGCTGGCAAGGAGACTGCTCAGCCCTCGTGTGCCCAGTGAGTTCAGCTGCCACCCCCTCAATATTTCCTCTCTCCTAGTATTACCACAGTAAATAAAGTAATAGGTGAAAAAACATCTGAACTTAACTTTAGGAACTTCCAATTCCAATATGGAATGTTTGGAATGTTTTCAAGTCTTTCATGAAAGTCATATATAGCATTTGTTGTGAAATTTGAACTTAAATGAAGCATTTTAAAATGAAGCATTTTGACTGCACATCCAGTAAAATTGAGCACGACTCGAAGCCTATATTTTTCAGATGAATAAATCAGCATTTACCTCACTGTAAAATCTGTCTCTAAAAAGAAAAGATTGAGTTCTGGTTTGTGATGGTGGTGCTTTAGCTCCTGGTTGAGAGTGAGCAGAGCAGGCAGAGCTCGCTGACCTCTGGCTCCAGCTAAGCCCAGCAGCTTTGTCACATGAGGAACTGCACTGCAGAGCTCTTGGCCTGAGCCCCAAACCATCTATGCAGTGATGTCTGGGGCACAACTGGCCACAGAGCACTGACAGAAACAGGCTCCTATCACACGGTTTTGCCTTGTGCAGTTACAGGATGAAACATTGTGCTGTGGGAGTAAAATGAGCTGGTTTAATTTGTTGGGTTTTTTCCCTCTCAGGGTATGAGCGTTGCGAGGAAAGGCGGAGATGTTAAAATCCTTGTCAGAACTTAGCACTCTGGAGTTAGGCAGTGAGGATTTATACAGCACTTCACCGTGTGTGTGCAGGCAAGGGCTGTCAGGAAACAAGGAAGCAGCCAGAAGGTTGAGGGCAGCTTCATTTGCAATCATTCCTGTGCCAGCAATTATTAACTCCAGTAGACTGGGCAAACTGTAACACTCACTGCAGTGGCTTGGAAAGTACTGAGCTCTGTAAAGAATGAAATGAGCAACAGGCAAGAATTTAAACTGGGGTCGGTAACTTTGCTTTGAAGCTCAACTGATTTGGAACAGTTGAGTTCTATTGTGTGCCTTGCTGTCTGCAAGCTTTAGAGCCACCCTGTCCTCTGTAAGACAGTCCCAGGAACGTCTGACTTGGCCCAAATGAAGAGGCAGAGGTGGGGAGTTCTGCAGAGGAAGATGCTGACCTTAGGGAATTTCTCCCTACCTGCTTTAGGAGAAGTTTATCCTCCCTCTATTCACATTCTGTCCTTTCCATTAGACACTAATTCATCTGCTGGTGTCCCCTAACAAAAATCTCCACCTGTAGCAGGGAAACATTAAAGCAATGATAAAATCTTAACTAAAGCTAGCTTCTATTTAACACACTTCCATTAAAAAGCTAAAAAAAAAAAAAAAAGAAAAACTGTAGCTCCAGACTTGGATAAAAAATCTAAATCCGAATAGTCTATTTTAAGGCAAGCATCAGGGATAAACTCTGATAAAAATACACTGAAGCTGTGTTGTACCTTGGCTGGATCAAGACTGCAGCTTTCAGGTATCAGCAGTGCTGGGTAGCACTTGCTGTTAGTGATTCTTTACCATGTACTTGGATCTACATATTTGTCCAGAAGAGCAAGTGGAAGTGATTAGTATTAATGTTTTATTAATGGTAAATATTGAAATGAGACATGCACAAGATATTACTATTAAAGCTTTGAATTATTCAGCTGTCTGAATTGCTTTCAGGCCTCTCCTTGGCCTCTGGTCTGTAGGCATGTTAAGTTTGATCAGTGTATGTGATGGATGGGCATGGGTATGAGCCTCCATTGGGATAAATGTAGTTTTTTGTGCAGTGAAGGGAATCCTGCTGTTTACTCATCTAAAGACAAGTTATCCATCCAGCCTTTACTCATTTAATGACAAGTTATTGGAATAAAAATCTCATAGCTTGGCTCTCCTCTGTGTTGGTAAAACTGCAGGTGGAGGTCAGCCCTTGGCAGCAGGGTTTGTGCTACAGGCCTGTAACTACACTGCCTGTCCCCAAGCAATGTGCACCGAGACTTGCTGAACTTCATGATTTACAAACGTGCTTCTACAATGCTGAAATGCCCTGGCACAAAGCTAAAGGTGTGAAAACACTTGTGTGGACTTGGTGGTTTCTGGAGCCCTTTAGGACCGACTTCCCACAAACAGGTAGCAGTGGTTTTGAAGAAGCAGCAAAGAGAGGAGCTTGTCCCAGGAATCTGGTTCTCCTGAGTCAGCTGCTACACCGGGGAAGTCCCGTCCTACCTGTGAAGCACCATTTACCTGCAAATGGGATTGATTTCCTCTGCAAATATTTGCCTGTGATCAGGTTACTGGATTGGAGCCCCTGTTTCCTCCAGCGTATAAAGGAAATAAATAAGGCTTAACATCTTTGCCATGATTGTGTTTTCAAAGGCTATTTACAAAAAATCCTTAACTTTGGCTGACCTTAGTAGAGCGTCATTGGGTGAAGCTGTAGGGAACAGTTGGTTTCTGTGCTGTGCAGGCTTTATTTTGGCTGGCAGTCTGTTAACTCTGATAAGTGGGTAAGTGCATGCCAAGGAAAGTCAGGCGTATCGTGAGATTCTGCTTTTCCAGAGAGAAAGTAGCCCCCAGAAACAGCTTTGTGGGCCAGTAAACAAAAACTCATACACCAGAATTTGGAGTTGACAAATTCTGGATCTTGGGGACCTGAGGACTCTGCCGGGTGTTTCACTGGTCACTTTCCCTTCTCTAGATGAAGAGTGGTCCTGCTCTAGTGAGAATGGTGCTCTGGCTCTGTTGGAACTGCTTTGATCACAGCAGGCTGCTGCTGCTTTCCCTACCCTCTCCAGGGAAAAAGCAAAAACAGCTCTTGTTCCTTGTGAATACCTTCTGGTGGCTGCCCTTCTCCAGCCTCCTTGAGCAACAGCAGAATGACACTGGGAATTAGTGTCATCATGCCCAAAGGGCGTGTGACAGCCATGACACGGGACTCTGGCTATGGTGGGTGTGTGGTGCTTCTGTGGGCTGGTTTTGGTGCTTATTTCCAGGAGCAGTAACAGTCCCTAGAGTTAAACAGTATTTGTTTGCAGTTTCAGGAGAAGCCCAACGCGTTGTCAGCTTGGAAGAAACAGACTATTTTTTTTCTAAGACTTTTATATTCCTAGGTGGCCTACATCCTGTACTAGGAATTGCATTCAAAGGCAGCGTGAATTCAGGTCAAACTTTGCCTACTTGTAGTAGATGGATGTTACCGATAAAAACATTTTACGCACACTGGGCAGAGATTTATTTAAGCTGCTTCTACAAGCGCCTGTAGTGAATTTACGTTTCCTTTGAGCTCGCTGAGAATGGTAAACTATTTATTGCCTTTATATGAAACACTGTTTTGACAGATTTCCTCAGAAGAAGCACAAAAGGAGATGCTGTGTTCTTTGAAAACAACTGGAGCCACTGGCAAGAAGCAGCAACGCTGCATCGAACAAGGGAACCGCTTCCAGCTTATCAAAACATGCTGTTGAACTGAATTTTGCAGCTGCATTTTCCAATGTACCATGGGATGCATCAAATCCAAGGCCGCCTTCCAAGGTTCCAGCGCCGTCCAGGATGAGAGGATCGGGGGAGGTGGCGAGGGGTGCACTGGGGAGAAGTCGTCGCTGCTGGCGGTGAAGGCGGAGGAGAGGGGCCCCTCGAGCACCATCGTGCTGGACTACGCCCACCGGCTGTCGCACGACATCCTGGAGCAGGCGGTCAAGCAGTGGGCGGTGACCGAGAGCAGGTACAGCGACATCCCCTTCATCGAGAGCGACGTGCCCTGAGCCCGGCCCGGCCCCGAGCCCCTGTGCCCGCTGCCAGCGCACGCAAAGCACCGCCAGCTCTCCTCCGAGCATCGCTCTGGGGAGGGGGCTCCAGGGAGAGCCTCAGAAAATTTGCCTTTTAACGTAGATTGCTAACAAACTAATGGGATCGCAGTAGAACCCGTTCGTCAAATGTCATTCATTGTCAGCCATGTGTTGAGTATATTCTGTCTTTGTATGTGTTGGATGTGACCAGAAATTAGCATTTAAAAGACGATGAGAAGACTGTGGCTGCCCTGCACCTCTACAAGCACTGCCACAGAGGACAAAACGTGGATTATTTCTATGTCCTGCATAAAAGATCAGTGGTCTGTCTGTAGGTGAGATGAACTCTCTGTGCTTGGTGAAGTTGTCTGTGTTTCGCTGAAGTGAAATCAAGGTCTGCATGTAGCAAAGGTTACTGCTATCATAAATTTTACTTTTGATTCTGTGACCTAACTAAATCTGTAAAACCACAAAATAATGAAGGTGATGAGAGGTGCTCTGTAAACCCCAGTAGAATTCAGAACCATTTGGATGATGATGCTATTCACCTTCTATTGAAGTGAGCCAGTGAGAAACATGCCAGTGTTGATAAGCAGTGCATTATCATTAACAGATGCTTCTGTAAATGCATGAAAGCTTGTCTCTAAAACCCTGCAGTAAGATAGGTTAATGACAGCTGGTGTGTTCAGACCAAAGCTGTTTGGTTGTTTTGTTTTGTTTGGGTTTTTTTTTTGTGTTAGGGTGCTGGTTTGGGTTTGGGAGGATTTGGTTTTGTTGTTTTACTGTCACCCTGAGAGATGTGCAAAAACTACTGATAGTACTAGTGAAAGGAACCTTCAAAAGTGTGACAGTGCTTTAGGACAATTTGTTTCATGGGAGCTGTGGCTGTATTACACTGAAATTCCTCTCTGAAGTACCACTCTTGAGACAGGACGTCTTCCATCAGCTTCTGTAGGCTGCTGCTTCCCCGTTGGAAAACCTGTTCATGGCAATGCCAGCAGGACCCACAGGAGCCCCGGCCCTGAGCACTGCTCTGAATGCAGAGTTAGGGACTAAGCCTTAGGCCCAAAGCTCAAGGGCTGCATTTCTCCCCCAGTGCATCCACACACTGCTCCCTGCTTGCCCAGGGCTCGCAGCCCGACCCACTGCACTCAGGCTGGCGTTAGACAGATCAGGACACGGATGCATTTTCCCTGTTCATCCCAAAGGTACAATGTTGCTGACGTTTTATACAAAGTGAAGACTTTCTAACAGCTTGGCTTTTACCATCTGTTTGTTCTTTTTTCTGTGATGCCCAGTTTAAAAGACATAGTTCCTTTTCCTAGATCAAAATGCTTTCTATTTTGTTTTCATTTTATAGAGAAATGCTTTCCATACTGGCTAAAGCTGTTACTATTTTTAAAAGGTACACATAGTTCTAGTAAATGATCCAAAGCATGATTTTTCAAGCAATGGAGAGCAATCAGAAAGAGGACCTTGTAAAATGCTGGTTTTAGCTTATTCTCTGGCATAAGACAGTCTGTGAATTGAGCTGTTTTGCAAATGTTGTGACACAAACTTAGGTATTTGAAATTCACCCATACCGGGAAGTGGCTTTATCAGGAATAATGGGTGAAAAATATTTCTCTGTGACACAGCACAAGGCTGCCATTAAATCCCAGAGACCAGACTAGATTCCCAGTGACCTGCTATTAAGGCTGTTCTCAGGCTTTTGCTGGAAAAGGGAACAAAATCAGCTTATGCTGTAATGTCGTCCTCTTTGAAGTTACGCAGTCGTCTTCAAAGCTATTTGCAAAGCAGGACTAAGGTTTTATGGTTCTCCTGCTAAGTGATGTTTCTTCAACTTCTACAGCATATGAAACATTAGATCATACTCTGTTTGCTCTAAAATACCTCCATATATTAATATGAGTTAGAAAGCAAAGCCAAAACGCTGATCAAGTCAGTACATATCAGTATTAAAAAGGATTCCTATTCTTATTCTAGCTAAAATAAAGCTTTATTACAAAAAAAAGGGCCAACCTTTCTAACGTGAGTATGGGCTCATGTTAACACTGCTAACCACAGTAATTAAAAATAAAAAAGCCAAAGCTCCAGAGCCATTACTCGCCAGGCAGGTGAGAAGCAGGCAGAAAACTGCACTCACTGTTAGAGCACCTTGAGGTGGATCTGCCCTGGCCCTTGTACAAGGCACCCTGGTGGTTGCCACGGGCAGTGGGTGTTGCAGTGCTTCCTGTTGCCATGTCTCAAATCCTTCCTCTGGATGTAGCCTTAGCATGTGATACTCTTCAGGAATATCAGATGCACTTTTGAGAGCAGCTCCCCAGCTGCCACCACACAGTCCAACAGCAGGCAGAGTTATAAAACAGCCCAAGGTTCCACCACAGCAGCCACTGTGATCAGCACTGGGAATTTCCCCCGAGGAGCTCACCCAGGCACACTGAACATGCCCCACGACTGCTCCCCTGCACAGCAGCTGCTCTGGGGACGCTGCCCTGCCTGCCCATGGGGGGACTCAGCACCAGCTGCTTGGTGGCCCAACCAGTCCCTCACCTGCAGCCACCAATCTTGGTCCTCACTGGTGCCTGAAGGTTACAGCAGCTTCAGAATGGCCCCAAGTGCAATTCCAGCTGCTTTACCATGTTTTCCATGACATTGGCACTTTAGGGAAGGCACGCAGCAAATGGAAAGCAAACAAGCTTGCAAACAACAGGGAGAGGGCATCTCACCAGGAAAATCATCTCTTTTACAGGATGCTGTCCTTATAAATAATGCACTTACCCTTAATAGAAAATAAATCTATTCAGTGCTACAGTCTGGAAAGAGACTGAGAGAGATCTCTCTCCATAGCTCTGCTGTACATTTAATAGGCACAATACTAATACATTGCAAAAATAAAGACTTCTTTACCTAAATAAATTTATGCTAAGCTGTGCTAGAGTTTCACAGAGCCACTGAGAGTGGGTTTCCAGCTAAGTTACCACTGATTCTTTGACTTGATTTTGTGTAATGAAGGCACTCCAGTTTGGGACTAGCATACTCTGCAAAACTGTTTACTTCTATTTAGGAGTTAAAAATACATTTGCTTTATATTTTCTCCAGGAAACAAGATTAATCTGAGTGGATATGATGTGACTGACTTGATATTCTAGTAATGGTTCAAAATACATTAACCACAGCACAACTTTGTAAAGCTGATGTTTCTGGAGTAAGGCACGTCAGTATTCCCAAATAAAACACACTACAATATATTTTTTACAATATTTTTTGTGGAAAATATTTTCTTGTGGACCAAATAAAATTCAACTTACCATCTGCTTGTATGCCTTTTATTTGAAAAAAGCCACAAGATTGCACAGACTGGACAGGATCTTGTTACCTTGAGCTTGAGATACTTCCTGTTCACGTAAATTTTGGAAGCAAGTGAACATGCAAGTCAAAGCTTATTAATTCAAAAGTATGTTCTTCCTAAAATCTTGTATGTCATTTACAATCAGAGGAGGCATGATCCCTACTCCCTGGGAATGACTGTTTTTCATTTAACATAATTGGCTGAAGACTGCTCCTTTTATACAAAAATAATGGAATTAACCAATCTTTAAAAAATAAATTAAAAATAGCAATTGTTCATGAATGTAAAACATAAAAATTCTAAATAATACAGGGGAAGGTTTGCACTTCTTATGGGACCAGCTTGAGGTAGAAAGCCACGTGATACATTCAGAATTACCCTAGAGGAATTAATGAAATCTCAATTACTTTTGGAACTAAACTCAAGGACAGCCCCATAACAATTTTGTCCATGGTAACATAAACTCACAGCTGAAATTTGAACAATTTTATCTTCAAAGACTAGTGCCAAAGTAAGGTGCCATTTTTTCTTAGCTCTGCATTTGGTCACCTCTGATTTTTTGAAAGTCACTCTTGGTAGTTCACCTTGATGCCTGAATTTCCTGGACTTTGTTTCCAGGCAACAGCTCCCAGAAAGGAAGGAGCCTTAAGCCATTGCAGACCATTGCTGTTGGTAATAAAAACTGCCCAGCATTGAAAACTCCATAATGGTTCTGCTGCAGCTCTGACTTTTTGATTCCCCAGTGCTGCTTACTGACTATGGCATTTGAACAGAAGTTTTCTTCCTTTGGGCTTCAGGGAAGCCAAAATTTGTACTTGTGACCTGCCTGTAAGTGTAGAAATAAGTAGGAAGAAACACTACTACATGATCTGATGAAGCATAAAAAAGGAGGTGTAATGTTGAAGAAGGATTAGTAGCTGTCTGCTGCATACACAATAGAAAAAATAACTTCCCTCCCACAAATACTTGTATCCAGGGGTGCTGGCTATGTTGTGTAACTTCATGTATTAATAGCATCACAACCCTACCACACTGAATGCACTGGAAATGTGCTGCTTGGTGTTCACAGCAAGGATTGAGGCACTTGTTTCTTCACCACTGTAAGACCAAGGAAAACCAGCAATTTTCTGAAATCGTGAAATACTGATTATGCAGTTGAATCAGACATAATGACATTTTTAAAAACGGGCTATGCAAGCAAGGAGAAATGTGCTCTAGGCTCTGGCAACATTATCACGTTTGAAATAATGTTTACATCACAAAGCAAGGCTGAAAAATGACCAAACCTTAAAGCAATAGAACAAATTCTTGTTCTCAGACTAATAAAGTATCAGTCTGAGCTTTTATTTAAAAGGGTATTTAACACCATAGATTCTGTCTTGCATTTTCCTTTGTAGCTCTGACTGCATCAAAGGTTTAACCATATTTTATTTTCATTGTACACAGAAGAATCTGTGGCACAATCCAATTTACCAAATCAGTGACAGAGCCAAGAACACAACACTGTTGACTTTTTGCTTATTAGGTCATCCCTTAACAGTGCTCTTTTCCCCAAGGGCTCCTCCTAAACTAAGAATTGATGCAAAAAAATTAAATGTTAATCAATGTGTAAAGCAATAAAAATAACAATTTGCCTTGAACTGATTTTTCCCATTGTTAACCAGAGATACAATTATTTTCTCATTACAGAGAATGTTCTTGAATAAAAATAATAAAAAAAAAAATTTAAAAAAAGCCTTGTGAATCTCAGGCTAGCTAAAAAAGTCTTGTCCAAATTGATCACACTGTTATTAACTTTTATATCACGTAACTAAGCAGACAGATGTCAATAGGTTTGATCTTTACAGCTTGAGATCATCATTTCCCAGTGGTTTAAAACAGTTGTCCACAAATTCATCACTGACTTCTTCTAGAGCAGCTGGCTTCCATTTGGGGGACTGGTCTTTGTCAATCAGCACTGTCAGGTGGAACAGAGAAACACCAATGTTACTCCTCTAACTAAAATGACTTGGCATTGCATCAAGACAGATCACTCCAGTGATTACACAGGGGACACAAATCTATGTGCTCTGGAGAAGTTTTTATAACACTGATATTGCTATTCTAATAAAAGTTCCTGAGTTGTGACCTGTCCAGAGGTGTCTCTGGGAGTTGCTGGATGATCCAAGGAACAGTGGATCACTTCAGAAGTGGCTCAAGATTTGAAGGAACAGACCTGAAATTAGTGGGTTAGTTAAACCTGACACTCTTGGGTGACTTAGGCTTCTTCATGGGAGCCTGGGAACAGTACATGAAGATGCTGCATTTGGACAAGGCTTTCACACCTCTGTGCAAAATCTGACTCTTGGGAGAGTACAGGAGATGACTCAGTTGTGCTAAGTGCCTAAAGTGAATTTAAACACATCACATAAACTAATAATGAAATAACTCACGAGCAAAGAGTAAAGTAGGGTATCTTTGTGGGAACTGAGGGTGTTAATTTGTAAATACTGACAGCTACTGAGACATGGGTAGATTTAACTGTGATAATCTGTATAATCTCAGTATACAGACTTTATACTGCATCCTGGGAAATCCATCACTGAAGATAAAAACCATCACTGAATGAATCACATGTAAAAGGCTAACAAGAAAATGTCAATTCCCAAAAAACATTCCCTACATCACAAGAATGTTGAAAGCATCTCAGCAATGGCTGCATTAGCAAACAGTAAAACCAGAGGGAGTTAATTTGTGTGTAAAAATTATCAGTATGAATGGAATTCCAAAGTATCCTTCCAAGCACCTTTCAGGCTTTAAGAAATCCATGTAAGTGCAACTGAAAATGTGAATTTTTTATCATTTAAAGAAGAACAGCTGTAAGAACTGTGACACCCTAGGATGCACATAACACACATTCCCTTCAGGTGAGTGAGATCAGCAACTGATTTGGGATGCACCCGTGGCCTGGGGAACCTCCTGACCAACACAGCCCACAGCATATGAGAGAGGATGGGCAGGAAGAGGGAACACGTTTCCAATTTCTCTCCTGAGAATAACCTTTATTTGTCCATTTCCTGACAAAGAGTTTGGAGTGGGATAGTTCTAAAGGCAGGTGAACTATGACACTCACAGAGACTGGATATTTCAAAAAATAGCAACTATTTTTGGGTAAGTTGTTGTGTTTTTCTAAACTGATTTTGTTCTTATTGAGCTAATCAGAAATATCCAGGATGAGCAATGTGCAAGGGGGTAGAATTTCATGTTTAGTGGAAAGAATACCTACTTAAAGACTGTGCTTATCAAAGAAACAAGCACTGTGGCCTGCTTACCAACTTGTAGTAAAAAAATGTGACTTGAAAACTTCTCTAACTTTTGTGTTTTTAACCAATGGTTTAGAATGGCTAGAAAATAAACATCATTTAAATGCTGCACTAATTAATATTTCTGTAGCTGAAGACATACAGGCATTGAAACTCTTTATCTTATATCCCTAAAGTGCAAAGCAGATCAGAGCCCTACATCTATTTACTTGTAAATTGGGAACTAAGGACTCCTTAGAAACAAATGAATTGTAAAAAGTAACCCATTATATGGGAAACTGCAATTCCACAGAACACAGAATCCATGAGGATGATTCTTTAAAAGAAATGTCCTGTAAAAGAGTGCTTTTACTTTGTTGTTCAACTGGGTAACTTATTGAAAAGCTATGATCTTCCAAGTTATTTCTGAACATGGTTAAACCACTGATTGACTTGGGTTAAAAGATGTAATTGTCCCAAATCAATTATATTTATTCCACTGGAGTAGTACTTATCTGCTGATTTTCTTCAATTGTACTCGAAGTTCAGAGTCTACCCAAAACAGTCTGTTCTCCTCAAAAGCCAATACTGACTAGAGATGGTTTAAATTAAAGAGGGACAAGTGTCCATGTGTATGTTACTACAGCTTCCTCTCTGCCATGCTGCAGTTAAGTGCTGCCAGTTCTCCACTCCAGGGTACTGCTGTCTATTCAAGTTCATCTTTCTGTTTGGATCTGTGGTCAGTTTTACTCTGGTGGATAAACTCAATGCTCATAATGGCTTCCCCACTCAAGTCTTTAATCTCGTATGAGTCAAAATTTTTTTTCTAGTAGTATCATGAAAATATTCCCTTTCTGCATTGAATTCTTTGTATTTTGTATCTCTCCACCTTGAGATCAATCACTATAAAACCAGAATAAAAATTCGAAAGACTTCTAAGATAGGCTATTGTGATAAAAGTAACTGAGCACAGACATCGTGTTAAGCATTTGTTCTTGTGTTTCACCTTTTTAAATTAAAATCCCAAACCCCTCTGTTCAGCAGCAGTGACTTTACCAGACTTCAGGTAGTGCTCTGTTGCTGAGCTTCCTCTGGAACAGTCAAAACTCTGATATTTCCAAGCTCCTGACATTCTGTTTGCTGCCATAAAATCTCTCAACTCGTGCAGGGCCCTGGGGTGCCCAGGGTACAGCTCACATCTGCCAGCACTGCAGGGGAGGTGGCAGAAGCTGCACAGAAATATCATCTTTGCAGGATCAGCAAGATGTAGAAGACCTTTATAATTCCATTTCAAGTGCACATTCCTGCACAAAGAGTTAGCAGCAAATCTCAGGGACAAATATCTGTTAAATCATCCTCCTAAGATTATGTCCTACCTGGATGTGTTTGAGCACTGACTCCCACTTTTCTTAAGCAGTAAGATTTGAAAAACAATTCTTGGCAACTACCCAGACCTATGCATTTCTTAGTTTATATATTATTCTATTAATCAAGGTGAAAAATTAATACCTAACGAGTTCCAAGTCCACATTTACCATTTAACAGGAAAATGCTGATGATCCATGTGTTTTATGCTTTAAGAGTTTTGGCTTTTCTTTAATAGCTCCGATCACAAGAACCATAAACAGGGAAGACTGCAACAGCAGATTTTCAGGTTGAAAGAAAACTGGCTAAAAAAAA